AAAAAAAAAGTTTCATTCTAGTCCAAGTTAAGTAGCTGCCTGGGATACAGTCTTCACAAAGAGGAGAGTGCTCCAGGGAAGGAATAGTTGGTGCAAGAGTCATATATGGTTTTGTTTTTGTTTTCGTTCTTGTTTTACATAGAGTTACAAGTTGTAATGAAAGACTTTCCAGAAAGGCTGTAAAACTGGAATCTTATGGGAATCAGCAAGTTTTTTTCTTATCTTTATGTTTGGAATGTTCCTTTTTGGTGGGTTTTTGTTTTTTTTAATGAAGCAGATGTACAGTGTGTATTTGGGACAGGAATAGAGCCCATGTTTTGAGGTTTTGCCAAGTCATTTTGACCTTGGGTAAATGTTTTACCAGGAGCAGGGCCTACAAACATGAAAAATTAAAAGTTTCCTTTATTTAATCGCAGGTTAGAAACTGCCAAGTGCCGCGCAGTTAAGGGTAGTGGTAGTGGAAGGCAGAGGTTGCAGTATTACATAAGGTGCTCAGGGTAGCCTTTGTTGAGGAAGTGAAATTGCAGCTAAGACTTGAAGGAGGTGAAGAAATTCGCCAAACACATATCTGAGGGAGCAGCATTCCAAGTATCGGGAGTGGTAAGGGCAAAGGCCCTGGGGCAGGAGTGGATCCAGTATGTTTGAGGGACAGCTTCATTGTGGCTGCAGTGACCTGGGAGAAGAGGCTGTGGCAGAAGAGAAGATCAGAGAAGAAAGCGGGAAGGTGAGGTTAGACTTTCAGAAGTAGTTTAGCGAGTGGGAGCCATTGTCCTGACTTGTCCACCCTAGATTAGTGCTGTCTAGTTTTGAACTTCGTGTAATGGACTGACAACAGCATGTGCTCTTTTTTTGTGTCTGGCTTCTTTTCCTCAGTGTTAGATTTGAGAGCATTGCCATCCAGCGTTGCCATGCCCAGCAATAGTCCGTTGGTGCTTACTGTTCTGCGCTTGGCCCCCTGCTGTTGCAGGAGTTGGCTGCGATTTTCCCATTCTAATGCGGATGGACTTTTGAGTGATTTTGGTTATTACAGAAAGCGTACATGGTTTTAGAAAGTGGCTGTCAGTGGTGGTTCATTGAAGGTGTTTTTTTAAGTGATTCATTTATATCTGCTTGGGAATGCAGAGTTATTTCTGGAAGGAGGCACAAGCAACGTCCTAGGCTCCTCTCGGGGGGAGGGGCAGGTTGAGGGGCAGTGTGAGTTTTCACTGTTGGATTTTAAGTTCAAGGTAACATTTTAATGTGCTTAATGAGGTTTTTAAAAGAACTAAGTTCTGTTTTGTTTTCCTAGGTGAGTCTTTTTTCAGATTTAAAATATGCTAGACTCCTAGAATTGTTCTTTCCATGAAGTAACACCCTCCCCTCTTTGTTAACCCATGTGCGTACACTCAGAAGTAAAGAAGATGTACTACTCAGACATATGTGGAACCCCGATATGGACTTAAAACAGTCTGCTGAAATGAGTAGGCTGGTGTCTTTCATCTCTTCTAGAATATTTTTAGCTAATATCTCTTATTGACTCTGCTCTGTTTTCTTCTGGAGTTCTTACTTGATATATGTTAGACCTCATTCTGTCTTCCGTGTTGCTTAAACCCTTCTTCCATCTTTTTTTGTCTCTGTTCTGGATAATATTCTTTTGATTGATTACTCTATCCTTTTTGATCTCTTCAGCTCTGTTTTTGCTTTCTCTAATTTTTTAAAAATTCATGATCAAGTGTTTCCTTAATGTGCTTGGTTATTTATTTTTTTTACTACATACAGTTCATTGTTCTTGAAAAACTTTGTTGGCATTTTTTGAAGTGTGGGATGAACATTCATTCTTCTAGAAGGGATTTGCTTTTGCTTCTTCAAAGTGCCTGGGAACAAGCCCAGGCTACAGATTGTCAGAAGAATCACCTTGTGTTTATAATGTCCCGGGAATGGGTCTCTCTCTTTGCTTTTTTATGTTCCTCCCCCAACTTGGTGAACGTTGCTTGGTGTCTGGAGTGGGATGGCTGCCCAGTCCTGGTCTGCCTTTAGCTTGAGGGTGTAGCCCTGTAGGGACCCAGCAGTGCACACAGGGTCTTCTGTAAGACTGGCCCTGGCCTTGGTTTGTCCCTCTGCTCGTCTTCTGGGATTGATGAGCAAATGCCCTCCGCGCAGAGCAGGCTTCTTTGTTTTGCTTGGAACGGTTTATTTTCTCTTAAGTAGCTCTTTACTGTCAGCTCTTCGATGCTGTGAGGAGATTTTTAAAAATTATTTATTCTGTATTTTTAGTTGTTTTGAGAAAAGTGTTGGTCTAAACATACTATTTTTTTGGGCAGTTTTTTAAAGGTATAACTTGTATAGCATAAACTTCACCATTTTATTTTATTTTATTTATTTCTTTTTAAAGATTTTATTTATTTATTCATAAGAGACAGAGGCAGAGGGAGAAGCAGGCACCCCACTGAGCAGGGAGCCCGATGCGGGACTGGATCCCAGGACTCTGGGATCATGACCTGAGCTGAAGGCAGACGCTGAACCATCTGAGCCACCCAGGTGCCCTAAACTTCACCATTTTAAAGGATGTAATTCTGTGGTTAGTAATATATTCACAATGTGACACAACCATTTCCACTGTCTAATTCCACATGTGCACAACTGCCTACTCATTAGCAGTCATACCCAAGTCCCCTTGTCCCCTAATCCTTGGCAAACCAGTAATCTGCTTTCTGTCTCTCTGGATTTGTCTGTTTTTGATATTTGCTATGATAAAATATGTGGCCTTTTCGAGTTTGACTTCTTTCATTGAGCACGTTTTCAGGTCTCATCCAAGTTGTGGTGCATATCAGTACTTTATACCTTTTTATGGCCAGGAAATACTCCACTGTATGGATACACCACTTTATCCATTCATTAGTTGATGGACAGTTGAGTTGTTTTTACCTTTTGACTGTTGTGGATAACACTGCTATGAATTTTTATGTACAAGTTTTTGTGTGAACATATTCTCTTGGGTGTATACCTACTTGGGGAATTGCTGGGTCAGTTTGGGTAGTTTGTTTTGAAAACTCATCTTGCTAAACCAAACCTCATTTAGAGTTTATGGCTTTTGGAAGACTTGATGTTTGGCAGAACTTAGCTATCTCTGACATGAATGGTCTCACTGAAAGTAGAAACATGTCAATAGGGAAGTTTTCCAGTGTTTTATTCATGCTTTTAAAAATCAAAACTATCCCTTGTAGTATCACATCAACTAAAGTTCTTTTCGAATTTATTCTCAGTGCCTAACATACATTCTTTGGCAGTATCGGTAATCTGCTCCGTTCCCCTGTCATCACTTTGTAACCCCGCTGAAGTAGACCCAATTATCTGGATGGTCTTTAACAAAACACTTCTCGGGGCGCCTGGGTGGCTCAGTTGTTAAGCGTCTGCCTTCGGCTCAGGCCATGATCCCAGGGTCCTGGGATCAAGCCCCGCATCGGGCTCCCTGCTCGGCAGGAGGCCTGCTTCTCCCTCTCCCCCTCCCCTTGTTTGTGTTCCTTCTCACGCTGTGTCTCTCTGTCAAATAAATAAATAAAAATCTTAAAAAAAACAAAAAACAAAAAATACCCACTTCTCCTGGGATGCCTGGTGGGCACAGTTGGTAGAATATGTGATTCTTGATCCTCAGGGTCGTGAGTTCAAGCTCCACCTTGTGTAAAGCTTTGCTTCAAAATAAATACATAAAATACTTCTCCCAAGAATTAACAATTTGGTTATTACAAATAAAATTTTTATGAGGTTGTATTCATGTATTAATTAAATTACAACATAATTAAATACTAATAATATGATTCAAAAGTCCACACGTGAAAAAGTATTGTTTTTTTTTTTAAGATTTTATTTATTCATTTGAGAGAAAGAGAGCCACAGCAGGGGCAGAAGGAGAGGAGGAGGGAGAAGCAGGCTCCCCCCTGAGCAGGGAGCCCAAAGGAGAGCTTGATCCCAGGACCATGGGATCATGACCTGAGCCGAAGGCAGATGCTTAACTGACTGAGCCACCCAGGCGCCCCATTAAAATGTTTTTGATTGCATGTTTTTGGGGTTATTATTCCTCTTAACTGGTTCACGTTTGTCTTCGGCAAAATGCTGCTTTCTGGGTTGTTGTTGTTTTGGTAAAGATTTTATTTTTATGTAACTCATGACCCAAGATCAAGAGTTGCATGCTCTGCTGACTGAGCCAGCCGGGCGTCCCTGCTTTCTTTCTGGCTTTTCTTTTTTCATCCTTGATTTAAAAAAATCCAGTCAGGGGCACCTGGGTGGCTCAGTCGTTAAGCGTCTGCCTTTAGCTCAGGTCATGATCCCAGGGTCCTGGGATCGAGGCCTGGCATTGGGCTCCCTGCTCAGCAGGAGGCCTGCTTCTCCCTCTCCCAGTCTCCCTGCTTGTGTTCCCTCTCTCACTGTGTCTCTCTCTGTCAAATAAATAAATAAAATCTTTAAAAAAAAAAAAAGTCCAAAGAGATTCAGAGAGTTCTTGGGCCTTAACCTAGATTATGCAGAAATTTACAAGTAAAATGGTGTTCAACCACATTTGAGCTAAAAAACAAAATTTAGAATCTTACACTCCTAAACAGTATATGAGAATAAAATGCTGTCTTAAATGTTTTTATTGCTGAAAGATTTGTGTTCATTAAAAAAGACTGGAAAATAAAAATAGGGGCGCCTCGGTGGCTCGGTAGGTTAAGCACCTGCCTTCAGGTCATGATCTCCAGGTCCTGGGATCAAGCCCCGAGTTGGGCTCCCTGCTGGGGGTGGGGGTCTGTTTGTCCATCCCCCGCCAAATAAATAAAATAAATGGGTTAACAAGAAAATAAAAATCAAGCATCTGGAAAGAAAGAGCTGCTATCAACTGGTAATGCTCATAGGGTTCCCCCGCCCCTCCGTTTGCTTTTGAAAAACACCGTAGGGGTTTATGTAGCACTTAGCAGCATGGTTACTTGCAAGTCTTAAGTGGCTGTACCTCATTGCTTGCCTCTGACTCTGCTTTGCTTTTCCCATAGGACATGATCCACATCGCAGACACCAAGGTCGCCAGGCGCTATGGGGATTTCTTTATCCGGCAGATTCACAAATTTGAGGAGGTGAGAAGTCAGAGAGTGGTGTATGGGTTGGAGAAAGAGGTTAGGAACTAGTGGGGAGTTTTGAAAGTTTTTAAGAAAGCCTCGAGTTGGCCCTTTTTAAAGTTTCTGAGCGAGACTGGCTGGCTGCTTGGGGTTTGGGGAGTGGGGCTGGGCCTGTAGCATTTGCTGTGTCAGCCTTCTCTAGAGCATCTCTTTCCAAGATCTCTCTCTGCGGGTGGCCAGCTCTCCTCTCCCTCCCTGGTATTTCCTAATATGGGTGGATTCCCTGCCTGCTCTTACCCATCCCTCCCCATTTGGCAGTTATTCTCCGACCTAGACAGGTCTGGCCAGTTCTTGCAGGCAGAGGACTGGAAAGCTGTGTTTTGACAGACTTCATGTGTTTCACGTCTTGCCCTAGGAGAGGTCTTGTGGGTCAGGCCAAACGCTACGAGGATGCAGGGTGTGTGCATGCGGGTCTCCCTGTGGTCATAGCTGGAGCCACTTCATCCTGGTGTTCTGAGTTCTCCAGCAGAGGTCACTGCTATGCTCTGGTCCAGCCACAAGGCTCCTTCTGCAGGAATAATGCAGCCCTGGCAAGTTCAGCCTCTCTGAGCCTCGTGTCTTATAAAATGGACAGAGCAGTGTAGGGGGGTGGTGTGTGTGTGTGTGTGTGTGTGTGTGTGTGTCAGGTAGAAGAACGGTCTGCATGAATTGTGTAGGGCCATAGGAGTGTCAGGAGTGGAGCACCTAACTGGGGCTTTATGCACCCAAGGTGGACACGCGTGCCCGCATCAGAGACACCCCTTCCTGACTTCAGAGGGGCGGCCCAGGGGTCTGTCCTGGTGATTGTGCACACTGGAGGAAAAGGGATGGTGAAATCTCCATATTTAATTTTGCTTTTCTTTTTCTTCTAGCTCAACCGAACCCTGAAGAAGATGGGACAGAGACCCTGAGTACATTCTCACTCTTGTTAGGAACTTATTTTGAGGTCTTTGTAGGTGGGCGTATTTTTGTCACCGTGAAGCCTTTACCTAGATCAGCCATCAGCCATTCAGCTGAATTGAAGTTTATTTGAATTAAGGACTGAAATGCTTTAAATAGGTCTCAGTAAAAGATCTTTGGAGCCAGATTTGTCATCTCATCATTGTTGCGGGAAATCTGTGGTCGAGGGCAACAATATGTGATTTCCTGTGACACTTTTCTCCTTATGCGTCAGTTGTTGGTGTTTCAGTTGAATTTGCAGTTCGCAGGACATTCTCACATTCAGTATCTTATTTGCACCTCACAAGAATCCTGTGAGCATTAAGTGCCCTGCTATGATATGCATGCATGTTAGCAGAGGTGCTGGGTCTTAGGCAGAAACTTGAACACCTCCTGTGGCCGTGAACTGAGCTGCGAGGAAGCCAGGTACGCTGCTGACACCTCACGGCGCAGGCTTAGCAGTCGTAGGCCCACTTCGCTGATGAGGAATCGCACTCAGGTTGTAAGGTGACTGCTCAAGGCTGTGTAGTTCTTTTTTTTTTTTTTAAGATTTTATTTATTTGTTAGAACGAGAGAGAGGGAGATAGTTCTAAAAAAGCTCCCAGTGACTACTTTTTCCTACCATTTTCTGCTGCCCATGTCTTTGATGCCTCACACTGAAAACCGTGACTTACGTTGCGTGCAGCCTCTCCCACCCTCAGTGAGTTTGATAACAGCTGCTTGTCAACACCTTCACGACCAGTCACAACTGAGTTGTGTGCTTTTCACTCTCTGCAACTCCTTCCTTAAACGCCCAGAGGGTCTCTGCCATCTTGGGAACTTCCCTGGGAAGAGCCACCTCAAAACCTGGCAGCCCACACTATTTACTATCAGAGCCAATTTCTAACCTTTTTTTTTTTTTAAAGATTTTATTTATTTATTTGACAGAGACACACAGTAAGAGAGGAAACACAAACAGGGGAGTGGGAGAGGGAGAAGCAGGCTCCCCGCGGAGCAGGAAGCCTGATGCGGGGCTTGATCCTAGGACCCTGGGATCATGACCTGAGCTGAAGGCAGACGCTTAACGACTGAGCCACCCAGGTGCCCCAATTTCTAACCTTTTAACAAAACACAGACACAGATCTATCATTGTTGAAAATTTAGATCGTTGAAAACTTCACTGAAGCTGGTTGCCTCAGGCATCTCACCGGACCTACTCAACAACATTTACACGTTCTTGTCGCTGCAGAAGCTTTGTATTCAGGAGTAAATCCTCAGGGAGGTCTGCATAAAGTTTATGCCTCATCTCATTTATTCTGCAGCCAGGTAGACTTGGTATCCTGATTTTATTAATGAGGAAATTGAGGTTTGTGATAATCACATAGTTTGTCCAAGATCAAGGTAATAGTGAAAACAGGTCTTTTGTTTCCCCGATCTACTTTTACTTTACAAAGTTCTGCCCTAAGACTGGTAGGAAGAGATGAAGGAGCAATAGATAGCCCGTAAAAATCTGCATGGTCTATAAGCCCTAAAGCGAAGGCGTATTTCCTGGAACTTGGCAGGACAGGACTGGCGAGGCTGCTCTGTGTGTCCTGGTAACAGGGTTGCTAGGAATTCTTGAGCTAGACTTTGTGCTCACCTGGTATGCAGTGGGTTTTGTTTGAGTTTTCGGATTACGAGCTTAAGAACATGGAAAGAGCCACTGACACCTGGATTCGAGTCTGAATCGTGTCACTCAGGCCATGTAGCTCCTCTGGGCTGGTAGCCTAGTCTGAAAATGAAGGTGCTTCCCCAGGTTGTGAGGGGTGAATGTGGAAGTGCGATGTTGCCTGCTGATGTGCAGTGCCCTTGAGGGGTCTTCATGCCCGCCCCCAGGCAGAGCTGGGCCTGCTGCAGGTGCTGTCGTGGGGATTTGGATGGTAGGCATTTGCTGGAGTGAGCTGCGTGGCTTCCTCCTTACCCTCGGTGTTAGCATGAGGCCAGAGCATGTTTTGTGTGTTGAGAGAACATAGTGAAGGGGCCAGTTGGAGCAGAGTGAGCCAGGGAGGGAGGGAGAAAGGGGCCAGAGACAGGGGAAGCTTCCCAGTCATCTCTAGGCTACAAGGACTGTGACTGAGTCTGAGTGAGGTGGGAGGTTTTCACCAGGCAGGTCACGGAACTTGGCCAAGAGCTAGAGTGGAGCCAGGATTTGAACCCGGGTCAGCCCAGTGTTCGAGCCTGTGCTGTCTCTAGGACAACCATCCTACCACTCCGCCCCACCCCCCAAAGGGGGAAAAACAAAAGCAGCCTCTGTTAATGTAAGTCCAAACATTCATGGAGCTCTTGGTAGCCTTCCAAGCACTTATTCATCTGTTACCTTGCTGGATCCTGACAAGTGGCAGAGTCTGGATCCTGCCATGTGTTTTGATTGCCAGGCCAGTGCCAGCCAGACCTTACCCCTGCGGTGCCAGTCTGTGGTTCCCCGGCCTCCTAAAGGATGGCCTAACCAGCACCAGCCCTTAGGCTCTTCCCCCACCGTGAGTACTGAAGTTCGGCTCTCATGGCTCAGGAATTTAGACGCACCTGAGCAGCCCCCTGGGCTTAACTTGTTTTACATTCAACTCCAGAGTCTCCTAGTTCATGTCAGTCTCTTGTCTCCATCATTAAAACTATGCCAGGTCAAGGTGTGTGGTGTCTGACACAGCCTTTCAGCACTCTCCTTACTGTGCCAGGGGACAGGCCATTTCAGGAGCTCAAGGTCACACAGACCCAGTGTGTGAGCGCCTGGCTTGGGGCCACTTCCCAGTAGCTTGGTCTGGGCCCAGCAGCAGTGCTGGGCACCCAGCAGCCCTCGGGGG